GCCCTCGGACGTTTCCACCGTCTGGTTCGGGGGTGTGACAAGCGGCAATAAAAATCATCGCAATTGATCACGTCTGTCGTCGCTAAAGGTATTAGCGACGACATGTCGTCGCTAAAGCGATGCCGCAATTGGCTCGTAGCTAATAGCCCCTTGTCGTCATATAACGACTTCCAATGTTACCATTGTCAATGTTCATGGAAGTTTGAGAAATAGACCTTCCACCCATATTTGCTTGACCATTGCGCCACATCATTTCTGACTCAGCAGCAACAAGTAAATAAGATAGATCTATTAGGGTCATGTCGTGATCTGTCACATAGTAGTTCTTAATGAACTCACTATATGACTCAGGAAGTGACTGAGGAACCCAATCAACAGCCAACTTCCTTGGGACAACGACACCCAACATTCTCAACCTGTCAATGTGTGACTTCATTCCTAAGACATGAGTGCACACAGGTCTTCCATCTTTATGTTTCATTGCTAGTAGGGCTTGAGTGACCTAGAATTTTTCAAGTCTTTGAGCTTGTGGGTCAGGGAGAATAAATGGAGGAGGTGGAGGTAGAGAAGTACGATTTCCATGAGATTTGGGAAGATCATAGTTGTCTAAACCAGACATCTACAATGGGAGATATTCAAGTTAGTTGATTTAAGTCCTTAATATAACTCCCAATATGAAATATTAAGGCTAGGACCCAACACAATATTTTATAACTTACAAAAGGGATGCCGTAATCCAAGCTATAAAATATTTGAAGGTAGGTGAATGACGATTCACCAATTTCCACCATGAAAAACGAAATAAATTATTAGGTTTTAATTGGTTTTGAAACTCCTAGATCTTTTGAGATTCATTGAACTTTTAATGACATGTTTCAATCTCGAGTGTGCCCTTCAGGTTTTGTGACTAGGATGCCGAGGATCACAAAACAAGGTGTGAAGTAACCATGCAAATTACTTGGTACCCTTAATGTATTACCCCTCAATCGATACTATGCCGGTTAACCACATGCGCTCCATCGATACTATGATAAACATTAAGTTATCCTTTGCCTACCTTGTTAAGTCCAGCTAGTGTGGCGGTTAACCACACACGCTCCACTAACGGCTTAAACAAAGTGCAAAGTGTAATTTCATGGATTAGCACATTATTCACATTTTCCTAAGTAACTAAGATTGAGAATTTATAAGTGTTTAGTTACTTAGTATTTATCATTATACTTATAATGATTGAAGAATTATAGTCCTTGTCCTACCCGTTCGGCTAACGACCCTCCACCTGTCAAGGAAGTGGTGGGTGAGAATGGACACCCATTAAACTGCCATTTTATAGGCAGTAACCTTATACCCCCCCTTATAGACTGGCTTCGTGAATGAGGCCCACTAATGATAAGACGACTTGCTCTTATATATATATATATATATATATATATATATATATATATATATATATATATATATATATATATTATTAACTTATAATATTATAAAGTATAAGGGTTGAATTTTAACTTTTAAAATTCTAAGGGCTTAATTTGGAATTAAAGTATTCAAGAAAGAAAACTTTTCAAATTCCAAAACTTGAGGGCAAGTTTTGTAACTTTCAAAACTTTTCATCTTTCATAACTTATGAGTTAATGGTTTAATAAAATGAGTGACTTTTCATTTTATGTAACCTATGTGTTTCTTTAATGGACTTTAAAAGAATGACTTTTGGTAATCCATAACTTGATGAAAAATTATGGACTCCATTAAAACACATAATGATCAAGAATTAAACTAACAAGTAAGTTACAAATAATTCATATGATCTTCTAAACTCATAAGTTCATGAACATGCATATCAACAATTTCAAGAATCATAAAATTAACCATATAAAACTTGAAATTTTGATAATAGCTATTGAAAATGGATTAGCATAACCATGACACCATCTAAAATAAGTTTTATAAGACCAAAACAATTTAGGGTAATGTTTCTAGTCCATTTCCAGCAGGAAAAGTCGAAAAACTGCATTCTGGGGTTCCTACTCGTCGAGTGCATGAACCTACTCGATGAGTAGGATGAGTTTACTCATGGACTCGTCGAGTCCCCCCATGGACTCGGCGAGTTCATGCTGCAGAGTGCAGAAAAATTGAGTTTTTTCACAATTTTGCATCAAGTAGCAAATAAAGAAGCCTAGGCTCTGATACCACTGTTGGGTTTTGAGCATTCTAACACTCCTATGGTGTACATGCAACCCTAGAAACCTTGGATCTATGTTTGACTAAGATACATGCAAAATTGGTTTTCCAAGGTTCATAACCTATCTAGCATACATGAGGAACTTTTAATTATAAATGATAGAAAGAAACACATACCTTTAGTTGCTTGGATTCCTTGAGAACCTTGTGAGCCTAGCACCTCAAGTGTGATGCCTCAAATGTCTCACACAACACCAAATACACTTGGAATAACCTTGAGAGAAATAGAACACTTCTAAAATCAGCTATGCCCTTTTGTTCTCACACTAGTGCCGATTTTGGTCTACAACATGATGCTTATATAGTGTGTCATAATTAGGGTTACATCAAGTAAGCCCTAACTTGACATGACTCTTCATTTCCATGATCCATGGGTTCAAAAACACCATGGAACATCCATGGAGCATCCTATGGGTTTTAGCCCAACTTGATAATCCATGGAGCATTAGCCCACTATATAAGTATGGGTGATTTACAAAATCAACTCATATATTTAATTAGTCTTCTTTTGATCACTTAATTAATTCCAAAATAATTCTTGATTAATACTAATTAAATAATATTATTAATATATTAGAACTTATAATATATTAATAAACCTTAAGTGTTATTTCTCTCATTTTGGTCTATCTAAATGCATGATGCCATGCAACCCAAATGGACCATGTCGGGTCGGGTCAAGTACATACCAAATATAGTTATGGACTTAGACACTATATCCAACACCTCTTTGGCAGAATGCTATGGCTGAAGAACTCACTGCTCTCCATCAGACTCATGCATGAGATTTGATTTCTCTTCCTCCTAGGAAACATACGATAGGTTGTCGTTGGGTGTACAAGATATAAACAAAAGCTGATGGTTCTGTTGAGCGGTTCAAGGCTAGACTTGTAGCAAAAGGGTATTCCCAACAATATGGTTTTGACTACGAGGAGACATTTTCCCCGGTTGCAAATATGACGACATGTTCGTACTATGATTGCAGTTGCTTCTGTTCGACAGTGGAAGATCTTTCAAATGGATGTCAAGAATGCCTTTTTGAATGGTGACCTCCATGAAGAGGTTTATACGACTCCTCCCCCAGGAATTCAACACCGGTCGGGTGAGGTTTGTCAGCTTCGCAAAGCTTTGTATGGGCTCAAGCAAGCCCCTTGTGCTTGGTTTGAGAAATTCTCCACAGTGATTACCTCTCTTGGATTTGTCCAAAGTAATCACGATTCTGCTTTGTTTGTTAGATGCTCGAGTGCAGGACGGATTCTTCTGTCCTTATATATGGATGACATGATTATTACAGGTGATGACGATGGTGGTATTGAGTCTTTGAAGCATGATCTAGCTCATCGATTTGCTATGAAGGATTTGGGTTTGCTGCGTTATTTATTGGGTATTGAGGTTCCTCAGTCTAAGAAAGGGTACCTTCTTTCCCAGACTAAATATATATCTGACTTGTTTACACGGGCGAGCCTCTCTGACAATCGGACTTTTAATACTCCTCTTGAAACCAATGCATGATACTCTCCTACTGATGATGTTCCTTTGTTCGATCCGAATCTTTATCGCACTGTTGTGGGAAGTTTGGTTTATCTCATAGTTATTCTTTGTAGTTTTTATGCTTTTTTTTAGAACCCTTGTAATTTCTCTTTATCATAATCATATGACAATGTTATCAGCAATATCAACACACAAACACATAGTTAGAGAGATAGTTCAACACATACACGAATTAGGAAAAAAAGATATCAAAAGACACTATGACTAACAACATATAGTTAACCAAATTTGGACAAATATATAATCATCATAGAAATCTTCAAGACATACAAGAAAGCTACTACATTAAATAACTTGGTCAACAATAACCTTATAGACAAAGTTCGAATCTGAAAACACAAATAAGAAACCATAAAAACCATCGACAAATAACCAAAGACCATTATTGTTATAAACAATCTAAGAAGAACGGTTACAATTGCTCCCTCATTTATTCATATTATGGCCTCTTTTTACCTTTTATTCAGGCAATAAATCTATCATTCAAACAACAAAAGTCAATATAAGAAGGATGGAGACAATTGCACAATCCTGAAGTTGTTGCAAATAATAACATACTTTACCTTTAATCCATAATAGAGTTTTTGTTGGTGCCGTGGTGATATGAGAAAATGAGGAGAAGTAGTCCCCTGCTGTAGCTCTGATCGAGTGGTCAAGTATAAGTTGTGGTGGTATTTTGGGAGAATTTGTGTTGTAGAACGTGAAGGGTTATGGGAAGATGAGAGCATCCAGAAGAAAGGGAGGGGGGAGAACACGTATCACTTCCTGAAAGAAGTGCTGGATCACAGCTAAACTACATGCCAACCCAACAACTGAGCAACCCCTGAATTTAGAGGGTCTAAAATTGCCAATCTCTGAAAATAGTGTGGCCAATGTCTTAAGTCCCAAAAATATAATAATCTTGAATGCAAGAAAACCAAAAAAAGAATCACGTGTCTTAAGTCAACCTCCTTTGACATCTGGTTAGAAATGACAAAAATCCATCTCTTAAAGATTTATATAAGTAGATTAGAGTGAGTTGTGATGAATAAGATAAATTTGAATAGATATTAAAGTGAAGTAAAAGCAAAAATTGTTTATTAATTAAGTACATGGTATGGTAACATGAAGACACTCGATCATCTAAGACAATAAATACCATGCATAACAAAACGAACAAAAGAAGAGCAAGCAAAGGTTATAAAAAAAAGTACGTGTTACACGCGTCATTTCATATATTGATTGGGTGACACAAGAGTCTCCACGTATTTCGCTCCTGGAAATTGAGATGGACAGAAAGGTAAGCCGATGGAGCACATGATGTCCTTGGTATGGTTGTCCATACTAGCATCTAGTGTGTAAACATGCTCTTCAAATCTAGAATACATGAGCCATTTTCCATTCCTCATCCTATGCAGTAGGTCGTGTCCCTTCCTGATTACCAAGTGCAGTATTGGGTGGAGGTCAGTATATATCTTAATATCAGAACTAGACAAGGGCTCTGCTTCTGTCACCCTTTCCCACTTATATCCTGCATGTCCACTCCACAACTCAATCGTATCATACTCATCTATGGAAGCAGCATTTATAATGGCCACGCACAAATGAATACACCCTCTTAAAACCATGAAACCCATCAAATCTGTCCTCCTTTGATTTAATAATTTTTCACCAGCTGCTCCTTCAAACTCATTAAACAATTTACGGAGGAAATGGAACTTTTCGTTCCACATAACACTTGACATGATCAAATGAAATTGATATGAAGCAGCGTTGTGAGTTGACTCGACCTTTCTCCATGAGTCGGATCTCAAAGAGTATATATAGACATTCATAAGACGGCTGGTTAGCCATACAAGCTTGTAGTCATTTTCAGAAGAGCTGTAATACAACGCATATTCATCTGTATAGACCCTGTAAGGATGAGGACAACCGGGTTTAGAATTAGACAGCGTCTTATGGTCATCGGTCAAAGGGTTCCATAAAATTAAATCAGAGTATTCTGTATCATTGGGCCAAGGCTTGTTAATGCCTACGCATACCATTCCATTCAAAGATGTTACAATCGATATTTTTTTACCAACTTCGACTTGGAATGGAAAAGGGCGGCTGGCAGTGAAACCATCTTTAGGTGTTTCACAGTCGATGGTGCGGTATTCCCATGGTCTTGCGCTAGTTAAGAAGAAAAACTTCTGGTTTAGGTCATTTGGATTGCTATTCACATGGAGTTGGTGCATCTGGAGAAACCCAGGCGTCATTAGGAAGGAGTGCCATTGCTTGGAAACACACTTGAAACGCAATACATATTTCGCCGTCACCCTTGGTAGTATGTTGGTGAATATTATGTCGGGAGGCAGCTCCGTCGTCATGAGCTCCACCTCCGCCATCATTAATTATCGACAGCTAGCTAGCTTGAATTAGGGTTTGCCAAGTTTTTTATATTATTGTTTTGATCTGATTTAGATCTAATACAATTTCATTTGGCTAAAATCAAGGAAGCACCGAAGACTATCTCTTTATCTCTTTTTTTTTCTTTCTTTTTGCCCAATAAAAACATAAAAGTAATTCGTCATCAGGTTAAAAATAAGTAAATTATCGGGGGCAAATATATTAATTGAAAAAAAAAAAAAACAAAACAAAATTAAGTTATCCGATATAACCGATTTACGGGATGTTTTGAGATTGCTTTTTAAACTTAAAATGTGGCAAAGAGACTTATTAAGTTATGATATTTTAAAAAAGAATTAATTTTTTTTTATTAACTTTGATAGAAAAAGTTCAATAAGTTAACATGTTAAAAAATGTTTTGCTATTTTATACATGTAAAATGATTTTTTTTTTCAAAGTTAGGAGGTGTTTGGGATTGTTTTTTAAGTTGAAAATATATTTTTGCGAAAGAATTTTGACTTTAACTACAGTTAAAGAAGTAAAAGTCAAAAATTTATTTTAAAAAGTGTTTTTTCTAATATTTATTTATTTTTAAAGATAATTTAAGATAAAATTCACAAAAAGTCATGATTTCTTATTTTTTGAAAAACCACTCTTCTTGCCAAAAATATGATTTCAATTTTTTTTTTGCAAATGACAAACATTTTTTTAGAACGCTTTTCGGAAAAACCAAAAGTCAAAAAATCATTTGTAAAAAAAATTTCAAACACCCCCTTAAAGTCAATAAGTTATAAGAAGTTTGTAAAAGTTACAAATCCTCACTTTTTAAAAATTCATTTTCAAATGTTTAAATACAAGTTGTTTTAGAAAAACATTTTTCATTTGCCATACACTTTTTAAAATTTATTGACTTCTCAAAAAGTCGAGAAGTTATTAAGGAACTTTTAGATTACTAAAAGATGTAGTGGCGGTAATTAAACCGAATACATATTCTTTAATTCTTTATATATATATATATATATATATATATATATATATATATATATATATATATATATATCCCCTAATCTAATCATTAAAAGCAATTTTGCCACGTAGCAATCTCTCCGCCTTCCCCAATCTAATTTTGCCGCTCAAATTATTAAGTGAAATTTCGAATTTGCCCTTTGGTCAATTCAAATCACGGTAGAAAAATTATGTAGAGAAAATTTAGGAACTAGATTTGCATTCAAAATGGAAACATCCATTTGACTTACAGAATATCTTCACCCTTCTACACTATACTCTGCTCAATAGAACCCCCCTGTAATCAGCAATGAACAAATCAGCAGCTTAATCGCAAAAAATCAGGAAGCAATCTCAAATTTTGAATCGGATACACTCCAAATTTGAATCAGATACACTACGCCTTCTGTGGATTTATATTTTCTTCGAACGCATTTATAATGGATCACAAATCATGCAAACGGGCAAGCTTTCATTAGGATGCGTAATTCTAGACAAAATTCAGTACGTTCCATATCAACCTCAATCACAGTTAGGATTGCAAATACATCTCCAAGGAAGCTGATCAGTGATCATCAACGATTTCTCATTTGACTTCTGGTTAGTTCAACACCAAATTTTTACCGGTCTGTTCAACACCATCTTATCATCGCTGCTAACAAAAGGTAAACCTTATTTACTACTTTATGTTTCAATTTATATAACAGTCTCCATCAATTAGGACCCACACCCCCGCTAACAGACCAGAGTGTTGTAAAAGCTTATTTTGTGATTTTTTAAAAGCCTTGGACCATGTATGATGATTCTAAAAGACACGGGATCATATGGATATATTGTTGTTGGGTTTATGAATTTTTCTTTTGAATTAAATGCTTTTGTTTGTATAAATATGATATTTTCTATTTGAAATTGTTCCTTATTTGGTATCAGTTATAAACATATAAAGTTAAATCTATTGAGTTTGTTTGGTTTCTTGCACATAAGGTGTTTGATGTATTGTCTCATTGAGATATTTGTTTGGTTTTTATTGTTGTAGATTTATATAAGGTCTAATCTCTAGATTTAATTGACTTTCTTGAGTGTAGGCATTCAACAAATAGAAAAATGTTTTGAATTTTTAATTTGGATCCTTTATTAATCTGAAACTTTAACACTTATATGGAAATGCTTTCATATCGAATGATCCTTTCATTAATTTGTTTATGGTAAGTTGATATCATCCTTTCTGTGGAAGGAATTTGTTGTAATAAAAAATGGTGTTGTTAAAGTTGATGGAGGGAATGATGAAGCTACAATGGATGCGGTAGATGATAAAGCTAAAAAAGGTACATTTTTTTGCTTATGTCAACTAAAAAGCAGTATTTTTCCATGTTTTCTTGATAAACAATGTAAATATACTTTTAGAAATGAAATTGTAAAAGTTTGGGACTTAGGATTTCCATGATTTTCTTTATTAATTACTTCTTTAAGTCTGAAAGAACAACTTAAATGACAAACAATCACCAAAATTTTTTATGAAGAAAAGTGTGTGCCAAAATTATGGTTAAATGCAATGAAAAACAATGAAATAGTGGTTAAGGATGTACTAATTTTGTTAATTAGGTGCATTTTGTTACATTTATTGTAAGAAAAAGCAGTGTTTAATTTTACAACTTATTTTTTACATCATATTTCAAACAGAGGTGAAAAAACTCTCATATATTTGAAAGATAATAAGTGGTGTCACATAGATGATCCCCAAGGGTTAAAAGCTTGTGTTTACGCCTTTAAATGGATGCATTTCTAAAGTTTTCTCCATATTATGACATTTTTATGATGTCCAATACATGGTTTCACAACTGTAACAGAAACTATATAACACTACAAAATTTAATATTATTTGTTTCTTCAAAATGACATGAATTTTCGGTATCGATTTATAAACTGCCTTCTTTTTTTATTTTATATTTTTATGGTATTTTTACTAAGTTGATGATAAATGGGTAACATAATCCATTCCAATTTTACATTATGTCTTTAAGGGTGGCTGCAGCATGGAAAGAAGCAAATGTGGAAGCTAGAACTACAATTACTATATTTAGGTGGGGGAATTGCACTAGCAGTTTAATCATGCTCAATTTATTTCAAGAGTATTATGTTGAACTTTTAGGCCTTACATGTTAAGTGTTCAATAAATATTTTAGTTTGACATAATTGAAAAGCACATACATAGCATCGTAAGTGCATGTTATATATGAAGCTTTATTTTCTAACACCTCACTTTAATGAAAATGAAAGGAGTTAGCCATGTAATTTTCTTTTCTTTTCTTTCTTTTTTGGGTGTGTGGATATGAATGATAGCAGAAAATTGCAGCATACTTTACCCCTTCAACCAACATAGGCATTATATTTTATTTTCTACATATAAAGGCAATGTACTTATATCACTTTACCTATAATAGCAACATATTTTTATTACTTTACACATGTTGGAAATGTATTTGCAATTTCTTACCCATATTAATTACATAAATTTTGTTCTTACTTATTTTTTGATAACTAAAGACATCTTAAATACAATATTACAGTAAATTTGGGATGGAAAATTATTTTGTTAGCAACAAATCTATTTTAATCTACTTGATGAAGAAAATTTGATGGATACATATGCATATTCATAAATGGACAAAATTAATTAGCAACAGAACGTGTTTATATTGGTAAATATATGTACCAACCAAAGGTAATCAGATGTTGATATATACAAGTAAAAACACATATTTGACTAAATAAGGTTAACCTATCATATTTATGTTTAGTAATAGAATCAACAACTGATTTTTGTTTGGTGTTATTTTAAAAAAAAACTATATAGTTCAAAAAAACCAAAATCTAAACAGCAAGCACCATAAGCTTATAACAAAGTATATATTAATTTTAACTAACCATTATAAACTTATAGACAAAACTTCTAGCTTTGTAATTTAATAATTTTTTATTTTTCATTATCATTTTAAATTATCAATAGTGTTTTTCCTTTTTATCCGTGGTTTCCACGAGTTTTAACCTAGTATATATATATATATATATATATATATATATATACACTAGCCGTCTACCCGCGCAATGCGACGGGCGGCAATAACTTTGTTTTGACAATTAATTTTATTTCGGTGAATAGTTTCTAAACAGAAGTTAAAAATTTCAATAAATAGATTTCTTGCGGCGATTTGTTTAACTGTGGTAACATATAAAAATCCATAAATAACACGATGAAGTGGACGATGTTTGCGCATGGTTTGGTTAAAAAGAAAAGTTTATTATTATCTTTCGTCAAAAATAAATGTACATTTTTTTGTTTCAAAATAATTTGTATGTTGTTTTCGTTTAACATATAAGCTGCATTATTTTTTTGTTATTAAAATAAAATTATATTATTGTTTTGGATATAAAGTATGTCGATAGTTTCTTATTAAAAATCAAAATATGTCCATATTATAGACTTTTGTAAAAAAAATAGAGCAAATTGCACATCTATTCCTTTTTATAGGATTGTTGATATTATCTATATTTTTTATTTTCTTTTTATACTGGTATACATATTAAGTTATACTATGGAACCTTTTTATTTAATAATTTATTGGTTAATCAATATATTAAAATAGTTGGTTTCCGGTCGATTTAAATTAGACATGTTTGATTTTTATTGTCAAGAATTTGTTTTTATTTAAGATTTTCTTTCTTGTTTTGTCAAACATTTTCAAATATAAAAATAATAATAAATTTCATGTAAAATGCATAGTTTTATTTTCTTCATATTGAAATTATTTTTTATTTTTGATAATTCTTATTTTCAGATTTGATATAAATGATGTGTATATATGTATAATAATGCTTATTACCACTTTATTTAGAAATGAGTAATTTACACGAATGGTTCCTATGGTTTGGGGTAATTTACGCGTTTGATCTATAATTTATTTTTTTAACTTGGAAGGTCTATATTATTTGTTTTTGTTACGTGTTTGGTGCCTACTTTTTGTTTTTGTTATGTGTTTAGTCTCTGTCTTACCTAAAAAAATTATTATTTAAATAGGGAAAAATGATGGGGTAGGTAAGGTAAGGTGAGGGGTGGGGTTGGAAGTGTGTTTATTTAAATAAATTAAAAAATCAAGGACAAAATAGTATTTTTAGATAAGATGGAGACTAAGTACGTAACAAAAACAAACAGTAGAAATCTTTCTAGTTAAAAAATAAATTAAGAACTAAATGCACAAATTACCCTAAAGCATAACGACCATTCATGTAATTTACTCTTTAGAAAGTAAAAGTTTTAAACTTAAAAAAACAATGAATAACTTTGTCTTCGTTCATTTTCACTTTATATTTATAATCTATATTAATAAGTAATAATTAACTTGTATTTTTGTGTATTTTGTATAATGAAGATAAAGATTATAATCAATATTTATAGACATAATTTAACTTATTATCCAAGTATTAATTAACCTCAATAATAAAAGCGTGAGTTATAACCTTCAATTTAAATTTTGAATCGTTGCCTAGCATTTCCAATTTCCCACAATATATGGAACACGTTTTTTATTTGCTATTTTACATAAGGATTTATTAATTTCAGATTATGCATAATATAATTTTAAATTGAACATTTGCCTATATTTTCCACCTAAATAGGGTTAAGTTATAAATTTATTTATTATTTTATTGGTTGTTACTTATACCATGAGCTAAATCGTTTAAATCGTTTAGACGTCTTAAAAAAATAATATTATTATATTAAAGTTATTTTAAGAAATAGTGAGATTTCCTTTTATTTATATATATATATATATATATATATATATATATATATATATTAATTTTATATGTTTCCTTGGGTTAGTTAGTATACCTTCGTTAATTTAATCCCACCGATCCACCGCCTCAAATGTTTACGTCTTCGAATTTTGGTATCCTCCACGTTATCTCTTCCCTTTCGTCTCCACCCATCAACGCTCCTTCCGCAAATGCTTTTCTTCCGCTTTCAATTTGTCTTCATCGTCTTCAGCTAATACCGCCACCAGTAACCCACTCCCGACGCATATTCCACCGCTTTTCTTCTTCTCAGTGGAATCGAAGCCTAGCCTTCGTCTACACAGCGATGGTAGCAAGGGCTTTGTGTCTACACGAGCACGAATCGACACTGTTTGAGCAATCGACAGTGGCGGAGGAGGTGGAGGGGATCGGAAAGGTAAGTGAAAAGGGTTCCCGGTGAAACCATCCTCAAACCTTCAAAATTCCTTCTCTGATCATCTCACAATCATCACCACCACCCTAGATGCCGTCTTTTCACCACCTCCGTCTTTCAGAGCCATAATCGTCGGTGGTGGCTCCGTATACCCCTTATGCGCCCCTGTCATCCAATAGCCTCCTGCACGGCCATAGGCTGCTCCACCGTTTGTGGTTAATCCACCGACGCATCACCCCTTATGATTTTGTGCCCTCTTGCAATCAACCACCGACCACAACGAAATCGCATCATCTTTTTTTGTTGTCCATTATTAGGAAGAGGGTACTTGAATAAACCGTGTCAACAAGAATAAGGGCGTTCAGTCAGACGGGGAAGTAGATGAAGAACGGAAAATCCCCTATTTCTACATTTTCTTTTGGTTCGATTCGTGCTAGTCACTTCAATGTTTCCCCAAATCCAGGTATGCTCCTAAATCAACACCGATTTCAGTGAGGACTTTCTTCAAATCGATTCTTCAAATTTCTTCTTAAGTTATCAATTGGTAGGGTATGAGATTTTTAGTTTTATCACTTTCCCCTGTACTTACAAATGAAATCAGATTATGAAATTTTTATTCATGATATTAGACACACATACACAATTCTGGGCTTTGGATTCACCTCATTTGCAGTCTTCTAGAATTTATTATGAATTTCCAAAGTGGACCGATCCAAACAATAAACTGCACAGAGTCGTCTGGAAGGATTGAAACTTTCCCCTTAATTGAGTTCATCAACAAATTATCTATGGATGAGATGCATTCATGCATTAATCGGCCCAGATCCTTTCATTATGTTTTCTTGGAAGGTAGGGGTTTGGTTCATTTTGATATCTAACACTTTATTTTTTCCAATTATTTATTTTAGTATAAATCTATTTGTCTTTACACATATCCAACTTAGTAATTCCTTTCTATTTATACAGATCAGCTTGAAATGATTCCATTTCCACGTGACAGAGAGACCCAAATTGAAGAGGAAATCCTTTAGAATCATCTGCTTTTTTTAATGGTTGTTTGTTTACAGGAAGAAAGATTACAAGTTCGGAGGATTTTCATGGTCTCTCATTCATGTATGTCATTCATCATTTTCCATTCTTTTGTTTAATTTGACATTTTAAAGAAGGGCAAAACCGTAAAATGCATGATGTAGCAATTAGGACAATATACTTCTAAAATCTACCCAATTATAGAAGTGGAAATTGTAATGTATTTAGATGAAATTGCTAAAATTGATAGATTTTTCAGAATACTATGTTGTAATAGGAAAAAAAATGAAAATAGGAAGATCTTATAAAGAGAGCAATGGAAGTACATTGCTATTTCTTTTATTTACCACTTGAAAATTATTAAACTTGTGAATAATTTGGGACTTTTTTAAGCGGGAATTAAATCACTATATTCTAATAATTCGTTTGCAGGGATGTATTGTTCAACAATCTCAGTTGTGCATCTCCAAAAATACTAGCTAAAGATTACAAGTAAGATATTTACTTATTGGAAATTGAAAAAATATATAAGAGATAATGTAGTTTCACCATTTTATCAATTTATCCGTTGAACTATTGTTTTTTTAATGGTTATTGCAATAACAATTTAGTGGCTAATGAATACAATTGTGAAGTAAGTTGTGTTTTGCGATATTTTTAAATGGTAAAAAAATATGATGGTTTAATTTAATCTCTACATAAATAGCTAAATGGGTCGATCAATAAAATGGAAGTATTTTTCTGTATTTTGCCCTTTATGAAACTCTTGTGCATTGTAAAAATTTTAAAAGAATTACGAAGACTTGTGAACATTTTCATAAAAAAAATTTGAAAATATAGTATTTATCCAATTCGTTAATAACGAATTGAGCATCTGCTTTGTGCAATCGTTATTCAAGTTATTAATGAGACTTTAATTCAAGAACAAATTTCAAAGAAAGTGTATAAGCCAACTAGGAAAATATTGTACAGAAGATAATATATCTGCTTGCTGTGAAATATCCAACAAATATAAAAATAATGTAGGTAAAAAAGTAATGTTATATTATATAGGTAACATAGAAGCTTTGATTTCCATTTACAACAAAAAGGTTATGAAACAATTTCCAGATTTAAGACACTACCCCTCCTCAAAAAAGTTATTATTTTTATTTATTTATAATACAATTACTCAAATAATTAAAAACTGATTCATAATTTTTCTGTGCGGATAATTTTATGTAAAAAGATGTAGGAGTTTTTACAAGTAGTAAGAGGGAGACAACAATAGTTAAGGTACTATTTTCCCATAATAGCATTCAACTTTTGAATTATTTCTTGCTTTTAAAACCGTAGCTGGAAGGCAAGTCTACATTCAGGAAAGGAGAACAAACAGCAACAATGGATCTTCTGGTAGAAGTAAGTTTTATGATTTATTAACTCACTCAACTGCATTCTAATCAAGGATGTTGTATGCACTTGCACAAGTTTTATTTCAACATTATTTTTATACTAAGTTATCTTATGAAGTTTCTTTCTGTATAAATTTATCCAGTGTTATAGAAACCCTTAGTTGGGAGGTTGAAACCCTCTATCTCATACTTCAGAATCGATCAAATGTACCCTCTGTATAACTTATCTTATGAAGAAGATTCTTTCTATATAAATTTATTTCAACATTGTTTTTATACTAAGTTATCTTATGTGTATACATTTGTATTTATGCACCTTCAATTTTTTTGTTATTTTGTTCACTTAATTTCTCATTGTTGCCTACATATGGATCTATATTCTGTTTCTTGGACCGAATTTTGAGAAAATAACCAAAAGCTTAAAAGAAATACATTGTGCATAAAGGGTACCTTTGATTCACAAATTGATAACTGCATGGTATATCGGTTTTCTGTGGAAACTTGACATGGATAGGAAGATGAATGAGGCTGTGGAGACTTGCTGTAAGAATTATAAAGTGAAAACCATATTTTTATGTATCAACTTTGTTATTATTTTTATGTAGTAACTGCATTATGGGGTCCCCCTCTAGTTATCATTTAAAACCAAATAACTTCAAACTGAACTAAATATAGGGTGTGATAAAATGATCAATGTATTGTCACTTCCCGCTTCATTTGCTTGATCGACAGGTACTGAGTGGTACTAATGTCTTAAGTATGATTTTTTTTTCAGAAAAGAAAATTATTGTAGAAAATCTCAAAAACATTTCATAATGTGTGTTATGTTTTCCTAATTATATACCAACTAGTATTTAAGTTAACGGTGTTGATCAAATATAATTTTGGGTTTGGAGTAGTTTAGGTTTTTAAAAATAGAGAAATCTCTATTAATGTCTCATTATTGTACCATAATATATAAATAAGTCCCAAACTAAAATTTGTTTACAAAAAAAACATAAATTGCTCGTAAAAGAGATGATTTGAAAAAATTTTGGATTACCAGTTTCAGTGCTGACGTTAATGTTTAATCATTAATAAGTCTCAAACTAAAATATGTTTACAATATAACCATTTTCTTCATGTAACACACATTTTATCGATTACATTGCTAACCTGGACGTCTAACCATTAAATAAGCTGATTAGATGGATATGGTTTAAAATTTGACATGGGTACCGTAAAGGGTGATATCTATCTCATCTACTTATTCAATCACTAGACGTCTAGATCCGTAATGAAATCGGTAAAATGTATGTTATCAGAAAAACAAGCGGGAAATAAGTTGATGAGATGGATATGATGATGGATTACATAAAGTCAGATATACAATTTGAAATATTTTATAAATCTTAAAAATGATGAAATTTTTGTTAGTTTATGTAATTATTGTAGTATTCATTGATTTTATTTCATATTACAAAAAATATATAATGCAGCAACATATCAAGTTTGTGGCAAACGTAACATTATATAATCCAATATATCTATCTTATCAGCTTATTTAATGACTAGGCATCAAAGTCAGCAATGAAACCAGTAAAATGTGGGTTATAGGTAGAAAATGACCAAATCATTAACAAATTTAGTTTACTACACATCCGTGTCAGCAATGAAACCGGTAAACAAGAAAAAAGGACCAAATCGTCACTTTTATCAGTATTCCATGTTTTTCGTAAACAAATTTTAGTTTGTCACTTTTGACACTTCGTTGTGGAGAATGATTTTGGCCATAATATTTTATATGTTGGTGGGATTTTGTCACTAAATAGAAATTAAATTACAAAGCTGTTTATAATTTACAGAAAAGTTTCATGTGAAGATATTTTTACAGAAATGATCTAAATGTTTAATAATTTCATATGTTGGTAGGTATGGTTTCTGTGTTGAAAATAAATTATAAAAATTATCGTTGTAATTTACAGAAAATGTTGTTATACAACTTTTTTTTACAGAAAGAGTCTATGTATTTAAAAAAATTATAAAAATTACCCCTAGCTATAAAAAATATATAAAAAAATTACATGATAATATAACCATAGTTGGTATCTAATACAGAAAATGAAAATTAAGTTAATAAATTCACAAATTCATTATTCAGTTGTCCACTATGTTCCAAATCAAAATTTAAGAAATTGGCAAATTCTTAAATCAATGTTAGAACATAAAACTCATAAATTTTAGTTAATAGTATAACTATAATATCATAAAATAAGAAAACTAGATTAGAATTCATTTTGCTTATAATATAACTAGGTTAGAAATTATTTTGATTATAATATAACTTGTGACGAAAACAACGGGTTAATGTCATAAAAACCCTCAAGTTTCAGGATTTTGTTGATTTTACCTAAATTTAATTTTATCCGTTTTTACCCAACATTTTCCAAAAAAATGTTTTGTTTTCTACATGAATACATATAATATGAAAAAAATATACTTAAAGTAAAAGGGTATAAAAATTATAAACTTAAGGGTAAAAACGTAAAAAAAATACTATAAACTTAAGGGTTTTTTTGCGAAGTTAATTAAACGGTAACCTAAAAAACATGTTATCACCGGTAAAATGGTAAAACCCTATATATATATATATATATATATATAATATATATATATATATATATATATATATATATATATATATAAGTAGGTTCATGCGAAAACATAAATATTTTGCGAAAACGCGAAAACAGATTTAATCCTATAAAAATCACCACAAGTGCTATAAAAATTAAAATTTTTAGCAATAAATTAAAGATGATAAGTTTACATTGGATTGTGTTATGATAATATAGATTTAAATGCGGTTTTAACAACTATTTTTTTTCACGTTCTTAACCACTTTTAAGTTCATGTTTTCATAACAAAAATGTCAAAAATCATTCTTTGCTAATATGAAACAATTTCTCATGTATTATCGAATATCATCATGTAGTTCAAAGTTTGGATGAATTACTGTCCAAAATATAAGGTTGAGGTGGCACAATCTCATAGTTTTTTCTTGTTTTCGCGTTTTCGCAAATTATTTGCATTTTCGCATGAACCCTCCCATATATATATATATATATATATATATATATATATATATATATATATATATATATATATATATATATATATATATATATATATACTAGCCGTTTACCCGCGCCAAGCAACGGGTACGTATAGTTTTTTCAGAAATTAGTTTCTAGAAGCGATTAGTTCTTTTGCGCAAATAGTGTACTATGTCATAGTCATATAAACAATGTGTGTTAAAAAATTGATTCAAAAAAATCTTAAAACTCTCATACTCAAGCCATCTGGATATATGTTCAATGTTCATTAACAATAATTAAATATACGACTCAATCCATTTAATTCAAACCTATCTACAACAGTACAATGTTATAATTGCTTACTTTCAATTGCAACCAAATTATAGTAAATGGAAAATATAGTTTTTATATAATACTTGGACATGATACATAGACACTAAATTGTAGAACTCTTGTAAAACCTGTCAAAGTTGTCTGATCACTCGATTTATTATGCCTTGCTGCAAAAAATGGAGCTAAGATCAATACATTCACAAATCAGAACCAGAAGAAATATATTAAAAAAGTAATGAACATTATTTTAACACTTTCACCAAGTAAATTGACATTTTTTGTCATTTAGCCCAAAGTACATTGCTATAAACTGAACATTATTCGCCAAGTAAATCCACCTCCACGTACTTGTTTGTGCATGTAGTTTACTGAACCATTTGTGGTATTAGTAGGGCGTTCAACTCTGATGAAAATGAGTACTTGATGGATCAACAGATCCTGAACATGCGGCAGAGGAGAATCAGGAGATGGTTGGATGTACTGAAGGACTACGATTGCGAGATTATGTATCATCCCGGGAAGGCTAACGTGGTGGCCGATGACTTGAGTCGCAAGGCGACGAGTGCACCGATCAGGGATGTTTGCTTGAGGATGAAAATGATTTCTCCTTTGTTGGATATGATCAAGGAGGCTTAAGTGGAGGGTTTGAAGAAAGAAAACTGGAAGATAGAGCGGATTCGGGGTCAGATACCCATGTTTGTTCGGGATGGCCAGGATCTTTTGACACAGTGTGGTCGGGTGTGGGTACCGGTATCTGGGGGAGTGAGACAGAAGATCTTGGAGGAGGCACACAAGTCCATGTTCTCTATCCATCCGAGGGCCACAAATATATATAGAGACCTGCGATTGAGTTACTGGTGGCCCTGCATGAAGCGAGAAGTTGCATGGTTCGTGGAGTGGTGCTTGACCTGCAGGAAGGTCAAGGCCAAACATCAGACACCTCAAGACAAGGTTCAACCGCTACCCATTCCCATGTGGAAATGGGAAAAGATCACCATGGACTTCATCACGAAGTTACCGAGAACAACAAGGGGTGTGGATTCCATTTGGGTCATTGTGGACAGGTTGACGAAGAGTGCCCATTTTATTCCGATTTCCGAGAGTATCTCTGCTGACAAATTAGCAGATATCTGTGTGCGTGAGGTAGTGGTCAGGCATAGAGTGCTGGTATCGGTGGTCTCGGACCGTGATGTTCGATTCACCTCCAGATTCTGGAGGAAATTCCACGAAGAATTGGGCACACAGTTACATTTCAACACCGCTTACCACCCTCAGACCGATGGTCAGAGTGAATGGACGATTCAGACGCCCAAGGATATGCTTCGGGCTTGCGTATTGGATTTCGGAGGGAGCTGAGATACTTACCTTCCACTAGCAGAGTTCTCATACAATAATAGTTCCCATGCTAGTATTAATCGACCCCCATTCGAGATGTTATATGGTCGGAGGTGTAGGACACCGGTCTGTTGGGGTGAGGTGGGGCATCAAGTCATGGGAAGCAACGAAGTGGTGCTTAAGACTACCGAGTTGATCTAGCAGGTGCGTGACAAGCTGCGGGTCGCGCAGAGTTGTCAGAAAACCTATGCGGATCGACGTCGCTCGGACCTCGAGTTTCAGGAGGGGGATTTCGTATTGCTGAAAGTGTCACCATGGAAGGGTGTCATCAAATTTTGGAAGAAGGGCAAGCTAGGGCCCCGATTAATTGGTTCGTTCAGGATTTCTGCCCTGGTTGGCAAGGTGGCTTATCGATTGGATCTACCGGACAAGCTTAGCCAGATCCACAACACCTCCCATGTATCAGAACTTCGGAAGTGTGTCACTGATGAGGCCGCAGTCATATCCTTGGATGATATCCAAGTTGATGAGAGTCTGAACTATATGGAGCAACCAATTGCAGTTTTGGACAGG